GATAGACGCCCGGCTAATCCCGAGCGCTTATTAGTCACGTGGAACTGACTATTCTTAGGGCGTGAGAAGTTTCAGGTATTTTTACATGAAACACCTATTTATAGGTTATTTTCCCACTGTGGGACGATTATATCATTTAAGGTAATCCCGATGCGATCGCATCGGCCTCGGCATTCACATCAGTCATCAAGCATGCTAAGTATAGCTGTAACGCTTACTAACATCTATTCCTATACAATGATGTCATTTGGATGCACCCGTAGAGGCGTCTCCCGCCTCTCTACAGACATCCGATGGTACTCCACCTCGAAACTTAATTGGTCCTGAAGAGTATATATACGAAACGGTTGTGTTGGGAAATACCCAACACCGTTGACCAAGTTTCAACCTCTCTTCCTTACGCTTACCCCTCCTCGCTTCGCTCGTCGTGGCAAGCTACCACCCTAACCCTTAGCTGTTTGCTTATAATGTCAAAGGCCACAGGAATGTTGGGGCAGGAGGATATTCATACTATCGAATACAAGTCGAATGCTACCACTATTTATATCATAAGTTCGGATCTTCGGATAAGCTCCGGATATCTACTGGCGTAAGTGTGGAGTATTATGAATAATCACCGAAGGAGACCGAAGGTTGTAAGTATACAAAACATGACAGGCGTAACTGCGGAATAATGACAGGCGCAAAGTAATGATAGGTAGAATGTGGAGTGAGTTGGTCACAAGGAAACGTGCTGACTGATAATCCCCGAGGATATCGGCAGCTACGGAGTAGCTGCCGAAGGAACCGAAGCAATGCCGAAGGAGTGAACATGAACCGGAGATAGACCGGAATTGCATGGGCGTGACAATGCTACTGATAACCATCTGCTGTCACGGAGGTAGTACAGTGCTGCTGTCAAGCGCCCACATGGTCTGCATAAAGTCCGAATGTTGTCGGGAGTAATGCTCGAAGGAAAACATAAGAGGTCCGAGGTAACTCCAGACGTGGAGCAAACTCCGAAGTCTTTGGAGGGTCCGAAGGTGTCTGAAGGCGTGCGGAGATGACTGGAGGTGCGCGGACCTGGCTCTAAGTGTGGAAAGGAGAGAGAGGAGGAAAGAGAAAAGAAAGAAAAGAATAGGGGCCTTGGTCGTCTTCACGACAGAGTGATCCTATTGGGTATGCAATGTAACACGGTGATGTGATGCTGAATCATAGTCTGACCTATAGTCTGATGTTTCGGGTATTCATACGTAATAACTATTCATAATTAATTGTAAGTAATACACTCAACAAGAACAAATCTTGGAACAAATTGTGCTCGCACATTGTGGAAGCGGTGATCACAGCCACAATCGGCAATGTGCAGGGGAGAATCGGCTGGAAAGGACGGTCCGCTGAGCGGGCTGTCAAAAACATTGATTACCAGAAAGGAAGGATTTATCAATTTACATCTGGTTTACCTTCAGCACCAGGAAAACCCACTTTTGCAACATTCTAAAATCGAGTACCCCTTGCTCTCAATACATGCAGTTTTCACTGGGTTTGAAGTGGCAGTGAATCGCGAGTCTTTGTCACCTTCAAACTCATTACTCAAACGTGCTGGTTCACAGATTCAGTATCTGACAAGAGATGCAGGAAAGGGATGCACAATAAACCAAAGCTAGATTATTCTAACAGCATTGCACCTTGATCTATATATCTAAAACTTAGCACTAATGAGCGCCTTCCATCCCGTGCCCCAAGTCATCCAGGAGCTTCAGATTCTGCACACCCTGCGCCTCGACTTCCTCACCAAGGGCATCCTCCCATACTTCTCGCCCTTGGGGATGTCTCTCCATCTGCCACTCTGGAACTTTACCAACGCCTTCGGTGTAGAAATTCGAGGTCGCACGGGCTCGCGACGACGCACAGCGCGTTTGTCCTGGGCGAGTGGAGGGTGCCCGAAGGGCAATCGCGGGAAGATTACAGCTAACTACGACAGTATTATATACGTAGATAAAACCTCGGAAACAGTAATATAAATCGCCACGTCATGATATGAGCAATATCGAACACTAATTCCAACATTCGGGCTCCCTCCATGCGTCGGCGCGCGGAGCGCGAGTACACGTTCCATGTGATGTGTTGGGTTTGATGGCGAGTAAGCTGCGCTGCTAGGCGAACTGCGGCTGAAGGCCTCGCATGTGAGTAGAACCGGCGGAGGGACGACGATACGGCCGTGCTTGGCGCATATCCACGAGACGGCAACGCAGTGAAGTGTCACGCAGTTTTCGACATCATCTCCCGCCCGAGCAGCGAGCGGCGCCGCGACCTGTTCAGGGTTTGAAGCAGACCCGTGGTCGCTGGCACTTGGCGTGTCGAGGCCGTTGGAGTTGGTCGGCTGGCTCACGGCGACACGAGGGGTCGCGTTCACAGCGGGAGTGGTAGCCTCGGTCGAAGTCGCGGGATCCAAGGTCTTTGTCTTGCCAGGTGGCATTCGAGAAGCGTGAGACCATGTACATCTGCAGCGCAACAGTCAGCTGCGAAGATGAAAGACATTCGGTGCAACGCACCCATTTGGGATCCAGGCCCCGATGTTGCTGTGTACCTCATACCAAGAAAGCATTGGTATCTCACGAATGAAGTGAAAGTGAGTAGCTGAGGCACCGAGAGGAAAAAGTATCAATGAAAAGAACGGCACTTCGAGAAGCACTGTAGACGCACATCCAAGAGCTATCCATCCGCCACAGCGCCCGAACGAGAAGAATGCGTCGAGAGCAACCACGAACCGTCCTGCATCAAGGATCTGTCAACGCGACATCGAGGGCGAGGTATCGTCAGTGCGGGCACAGGACTACATCACAATGCGAGATGTACCTTTGCGTAGCTCGAGTTGCTCAGATGCATGTAGGAGTCTCTCTCGTCCAGCGCTGCTGTGATGAATGTCAACTACGTACGAACAAGAATGGCTTTGGACACGACGCACTCGCAAAAGACTTCTATACGGTCTTATATTCAAACGGGCTTTGGCCCACAGGACGTTGCCTCTCTGCCCAGTTGGAGATACGACGGATAGTTTCGGCTTTCGAAGAGAACTTGACAGCGAGGCGCGCGCGAAGTGCGAGGCACTGGAATCACTCCTGGAACACCAGTACGAAGATATGGACCCGACGGATTGGAGGGGAGAACCAAGGAAGTCATAGGAAATGTAACTGGACTAGACGCACTGTGCCATCTGAAAGACAGTGACTTAGGTTTGACGAGGAAGATTATGGCCACGAGGTGTTTGACGAGACGGAGGAACACGTTTAAGGTGGGCCTTCTCGCAATGCTTTGAGGGGTGTTGCGCGTGATATAGACGTGACGATGGGACGAACTTGCGTTGGACGCGCGACGCACTTTTTGCAAGCGCGCCATCAATGGAGTTGGGCGGCATGATGGCGGGTAAGGTATACCTGGGCGACGCGTCACAGTCATTGGCATGGTAGGAACATACAACTTGAATGTTCTGAGGCGAGCATGTGGGATTGCAGTTTACATCGCGCATATCGTTGAATGAAAGCTTACCTTTCCTCGCGCGTGGCAAGGCCGGCCCCATGATAGTATGAACTGCGCATCCAGCGAAGTCGGGAGGTCACTACATGAGATGTGTCAGACGTGGACAACATCGAGCAAAGAACGGAACGTACTCGATTTGTCAGCGCGAAAGAGGGACCGGAAAGGATGGGGAGCTTTCGAAATTAGCCATGCCAGCTACAACTCTTGCATATTGTTGGATGCGAGCGTGATGCTATACCCAGCGTGAACTAATAGCCTTCGCAAGCCCCGGTAGTGCGCGAGCGGCCGACGAAACTCAGTCGTGAAAGTGATGAGGTGGAAGAGGAAGTCGTGTATCATCCGTCTCCGTCGAGCACCTGAATCGCCGAGTGCGACGGTGATGTGAGAGAAGACACACGGAGGCTGGTACTTGTATGTCGCCCAGAGACGAACTCATAGGTAGGTGGTCGCGTTCGTCGACGTCTCTGGGGAGAAGGCTGAGACATTCGTTCCTCATAAACTCGCTGTGAAGTTCCTCGGCTGCCTTTGCATTGGTTCGTCGTGGATGCGGGGGAGGCTGCGAGATTTGAGACGCGCATCGCGCGTCGTGGGTGAGGCCAATGACACAGTCCCAGTCTTTGTCCGTTACTCGGGCAAAATCGGTCTTACAGCCAAGGCGCGACCAGCGTAGACTGGCGAAACGTCTTGTTGTAGCAGAACGAAAGCATGGACAACGTACAATATCGCCCATTCCATCCCACCTGGTTGCTGCTGACATAGCGCTCACGGTACCCTTGAGTCGACGGTCTAGACGGTGTCGGCCTAGATCCTGTGGCCCAGGTATCGATCGAGTACTGGGAGCCAAGCAAGTCAAGATGACTGAACATCTCTTCTTCATTTCATAGGAGTTGGGACCGCGATGCATTCATATGTGGACATTTGAACGTTGGTGAAGGGGCGGTCGACTTTCGCAAAATCTTTCCTAACAAACGCGCGAGTGTCTTCGGAGTTTAAAATTGCTTCAAGCGCTCACGGTGTCCAGCGGCCGGCTTATATTAGCGTGTACGCGCGAAAGCTGCAGCGTTGCTATTTATCGTTGACTTGTCAGTGGAACGTACGCCGGATCGCGTCATAGCTTATTATTGGTGAGCGAAGCATACACAGGAAGTGCATGCTTGCTGATAGCATGTGATAATACAAATGGACTCAGGTGGCACCGTGCCACAGGCATGGGGATTCTCGGGAGTTGACGCTCAATTCAATGCTAAGGTATCAATCAGCCCAGTACTTTGGACCTGATTGTAATACTAGCTTGGATGGATCAGCCACTACAGGATGTCAAAGGCGTTGCTAAATAGATTGGATTTCGATTCACTCAGGGATTGACAGTGCGTATGATGTAGATCCAGGGCCCTTAAGATGCGCCTGTTCTGACGGAAGCCTTCCTATGCAGCAAAGATGGATAGAACTGTTCGCTGAGATTCAGCTGGTGTCAGTGCAGGAAAGCATGGTCGACGCACGGAGGTGGATGCTCTCGGCCCGATCGGACCGTTGGCTATCGGCTGCCAGCTCCGAGAGCAGCTCAGGTTTTGTAAGCGCCGAGCGGAGACCGGAAGGCGGGTGAGCACCGACCGCCACGGAGTGAGGCGTTGTTCTCGTCGTCCGCTGACCAAGGCTGGCGCAACGAGCGACACTGCTCAACGACTTGCTGTATAAACACTTGCATTTTCTCTCCTTCTGATGAGGTAGATCCATCTCCTGGGTCGCTCATGCCGAACCCATCAGCAATGCCACAGCCTGCGTGACGATCACGCTCTAAGCTTGGCGACTCTCGGACGCATACAAGGCCCGATCCCGCGAGCTTGGAGGGGGTTTGGACGGTCAAGGTTATGAGGTTGAGGTTGAGGGACAGTGAGACAGGCCAGGGTTCGTCGTCATCTCAGACGGAATGTTCTTGTTGCTCACCTCAAATGACCTCATTTTCTCTATCCCCGCTTGCTTCAGGCCCGAGCTCGACACCTCGACGTCAGAGCTGGGGTACACTGACAGAGCGCCACCAAAGGCTCGAGAGTCTAATTAGAACTCGCCAACGACTAGTGAGACCCCGCGGAATGCAGAGATCGCAGGAACACATGCCTATGAGTCCTGACACGACCCGTTATGGATAGCTGTGCCGGGCCAAGTCAGAGTTGACGTTGACCTTACTATGGCTTGTCATTAACAGACTGTCACGAGCCCCCGAGCCAGGCGCTGGCTGAAAAGGAAAACTGGTCAAATAGAGCGTCTGCCGGTTTCGCATCGGCGGCTTCTCGTCTGTCTGCACTGTTTCACTCCCGCCTATTCAAGCCTCAGCCACTGAATCCGCACATTACAGATCCGACTAGCACTCCAGCCACGGTGTGTGATTGTATGCTATATAAGCCCTGTCCGCCCGCTCACTCCTCGTGCTGGAATGCGCTCCTCACCATGCCTGGCTGTCCCGCCTTCTTCTTCTTCCCGCGCTTCAAGGCGTACACCCAGGTCAACGCGATGATGTGGGACTCTAGGGGCAACGATCAATGGAAGGGTCGTCCACGGTCGCCGCCTCCCCGATTCCCAGTACCCTGGTGAGCCCCCTTATCCTATTTCTCGCGACCGAGTAGCGTTTCACTCGAATGCTGACCACGAAATTCTGTGCACAGGTCCCAGAATGATCCGAGGTGAATAGCACACATACCCGTCTCGCCCGCACATGGATGGGCAGCTTATGTTTCACTCTCATTAGGTCCGGATCGTCAGCGGATCAGTCACGTTCTGTGTATCCCGAGCCGTTCGCCCCCTTGGGCTTACCAGACATGTCCCAAGTTCCAAGTGCATCGATACCCATACCTAGGTACGCCCACCTCCACTATTGCTCAGCCTCGTGCACCGCCAACATCCTGACTCACATTGTGACTGCGTCCTTAGCCAGCAGTACGTGTCGTCCACGCACAGCAGATGCCTACGCCTTACTAATGCTTATATATAACAGATCCTTACCTCACAACCCATCGTTACCTGCACCACCCCCCAAACATCCTTCATATTCCGAACGCGTCGTTCCTACCATTCCTTCACGTCACCGGTCACGAACACGAACACAGAGCGGGCCCACCCAGAGGCTCTTCGTATCTAATCCCTCTCCAAGCCCACCTCGCAAGCCCGACCCCAGCCCGAATCGCCACTCGGGCCCAGCAGCAAACCACTCGCAGCCCGTCGTCCCCTCATTTCCACCACCCCCACCTCCCAAGGGCCGAACTCCATCAATAATGCGCCTACCCTCGCCTTCTCCGTCCAGAATGCCCGCGTCTACGTCCGCACCCGCCCCCTATCCTAACTCCGCACGTCCCCCGAGCCCATATACGCCAGTGCAGCCATTGGGGTACACCTATAGCCACCACGAGCGCCATAATTCCTCGTCTACGCGTCCGCGGCGGCATTCAGACGTGCCACCGCCGCCGCCGCCGAAGCACCATCCCACGTCGGGGTCGACGCGCCATCAGCCACAGACCTCCGCCAACGGTGCGACGGGCGCAGTTCACCATTTCTCAAGCACCCATAGGCTTCGTCCGCCGCCGTCTCCTGTCATCCCTGGAATCACAGGCTCGACTTCAATCCATCACACACCCAGCTCGCAGCGCCTTCGCCCATCGACGTCGACGCCCGCCGTGGCACAGCTGCATCCTGCGTTGCACCATCCCGCCGGTGCTGGTGGTGTGCAACGGGCCAAGATCCGGCCGCAGGGCGTGCGGTTCGATGTCCCCGAAACACCAGTGACATCGATCCGGCCGACTGTGAACGGGAGACATCCGCATCGGCGGGCGACCTCGCAGCCCGTCGTCGCGCCCAACGCTCCTTCTGGCTCTACACCCAACTCTGCGCGCGCGGAGCCGCCAAGGTCGGCGTCGACGCCGTCGAGCAAGACGGTGCATCCGAACGGGCTGCACAGTGTCCTTCCCGCGCATTCGCCGCTGCATTATTCCAAATGCACGGGCACCAAGAAGGCGCTGTTGATTGGGATCAACTATATTGGGCAGAAGCGGGAGCTAAAGGGGTGTATCAATGATGTGAGGAAGATTAGGGAGTTTTTGATCAGTGAGTTTTCACTTTCTCGTCTGCTTGTACTTCGCTCTTCCTTGTCATATTCTGCGCCTTTCTCGTTTCTGTGCACGGCGATACTAACGTGATGGCACAGAGCACTGGGGCTACCAACCTAACGACATTGTCCTACTCATGGACGACACGACGCACCCACGGCGCATGCCGACCAAGAAGAACATGCTAGATGGCATGAAGTGGCTCGTCAAGGGCGCACGACCGCATGATTCGCTATTCTTTCACTACTCGGGCCATGGAGGCCAGGTCCCGGATAAGGACGGCGACGAAATCGACGGGCTGGACGAGGTGATCTACCCGGTGGATTACAAGACGGCAGGGATCATTGTTGATGACGTACGTTTTCCTGCCAACCATTTTTAGCCTTAAGTATGTGCTAACCGGACTGAGCAGGAGATGCACAAGATCATGGTCAAGTCGCTCCCGCCGCAGTGCCGGTTGACTGTATGTTTTCCGTCTACATTGCCTTTCTCCTATCCGGGGCGCTAACTTCTCGTTACAGGCTATATTCGACGTACGTCGACATTCTTCCTTTCTGTGGCTGCGCATTCCATTGACTGAGCTAACCCATTCTTACCCGCAGTCATGCCACTCGGGCACCGCTCTCGGTATGTCACTCGCCGATCTTTGACTTCGGCCGTACTCATCGCACGTACTCATTTCACAGACCTGCCTTACGTTGTAAGCGCTCTTCCCTCACCTGATCCATTCGCCCAATACTAACCAATGCCGCGCACGGTACGACAGTATCATCACGATGGGCGCCTCAGGGGCAATCAAGTCACGCCGGCGTGGCGCGAGTACAAGAGCTCGTCGGCCGATGTCATTTCGTTTACCGGGTGTCGCGACGACCAGACGAGCGCAGATACGAACCAGGGCGGGGACGCTGTCGGGGCTATGAGCTGGGTAAGTTCCTCTATCTCTGTTTCCCCTTCCGCGCTTTCGTATGTCAGCGGCGCGCTTAGGCGCCAAGGGGCGTTGGCGGGCGCTGGTAGTTCCATTGTAGGTGGATATGTGGCTGACGATTTTGGGCTGTGTTTTTCGAACAGGCATTCAGGGAGTCTCTGTCGAAGAACAAAGATCAGAGCTACCAGAGCCTTCTCATGTCCATCCGAGCCCTGCTGAAAGATAACTACAAGCAGAAGCCGCAGCTGTCAAGCTCGCATCCTATTGTACGTTCTCTTTGCTATCGCGTTCCCCATCCCTCCCCTTCCAGCCTCATCCTTGCAACGACGCTGACGCGACATTACGTGATATAGCACACGACGCTTCGTTTCATCATGTAAACCACCTATACCCTTTCTCGCTATCGGCATCGCAACGTAACGACCCAAGAACAGTATTTATCATCAATGTATACCCATTGAATCGTAACGACCTCTATCTATTCATACCATATGCTCCTCCTCGCCCGCGTCGCCCAAGCTAACGGCGGCAACGCGGGCGGGGTTTTATCTACCTGTACGCATTCGACCTAGTGGACTTCCCCCTCTCGTTTCTCGATACCGTTTGCGCGCCTCCGTATGGAGTGCGCGCACGACGCTCGTTTGTTTTATATTATAGTGAATCTCATGATTGTCATATGTTAGTTTAGTCTTTGTTTCTTATATTTGCGTATGTACAACATGTGTACGCGTTACACACTCGTTTGTACAACTCTGTAGCCTTAGTTCTGTTTCATACATCGTAAATGGGACTTGCAAATATTTTGACGAGTTCAACCGTTCATGGTAAGCTGAAGAAGTCTCCTTTGCACCACTAGCGTTTAAGGGGGACACCCTTGCAATCCACATCTCCAGAATGGCTACACCCGCGTTGGGCGAGCTAGTTCTAGCAATGCGTCTCTATAGCCATCTAGGAACGAAGTTACAGGGGAATGGCTTTGGATACCTGCACAAATACCACGAATGTGTGAGGGCCCATGTAATATCCGCTGGACGAAAACATGTTGGGTCACTCACGAGAAAAGCCTTTTGTCCACTCTGGGTTTGGCTCGACTACATTTCCTGACGCGTCTCTCGCCTTTTCGATCGAGAACGTTCCGAGAATACGTGCAATAGCGATCCACACCGATCCACTCGCTAATGCCGGCCAGGGCAGATGCGTCGACCGAAGCCAAACGCGAAGTTCGGAGTCTCCCCTGTCACGTTCCCGTTCGCGTCAAGGAAGCGCTCGGGAGCGAAGGTATCAGGGGAAGGATATTTGGTAGAGTCGCGAGACATGGCCCTGGTGCTTATCTAGCCAGAAATGATAATGCTGAGCGAAGGCGAGACATACCAGAGATTAGGCAGGATAACAGTTCCTGTTGGAAAATACGAGTAAGCTTTCGCACTGTGTCACTTCTTGATCATGCTAACTGTTCGGAATCCGATACCCGTCGTAGATATCCTTGTTCCGAGTCGTAGCGGCATGGGGAATAGCTATTCTCTCAGTTAGTGTGGGTGTTTCGTGTGGTTGCCCATGGAGCTGCACTCACCTAAGGGAGCAACAGATTTCCATCTCAGCGTCTCACGATAAATCGCCTCAATGTAAGGCAAAGAAGGCCTATCATTAAAGCTTTAAAGTCTGGCAAGCGGTCTGCTCCGATAACAGGCCCTATTTCTTCCTGAGCTCGCTTTTGGACGCTCGGGTGTAGTACCATAGCCAAAGCGAACACAATCAGAGTTGAGCCGGTCTAGGATGCGTGAGCACGAAGTCACTGAAATTCTCTAACACCGACCGTTTCTTCTCCCGCTGGTAAAAGGATAACGTTGGCTGACGAGAAAAATCAGTTGATGCAAGAGACTCACCAGCAAATGCTGTGCCGCACGAGTCTCGCACAACTCGCTCAATGTTGTCTACTTTGGTTGTGTCTTGGAATTTGGTTAACGCGTCGGCTACAGCAGACTGTCCTGATTCACCAGCTGCCTTGTACGACGTGATATGTCAAAATTTGAAATTGCGGCTGGATGAGTGTACTTACGATCTTCCTCAGGAGCTTATCGAAGGGTGCACTGATCATAACATCCGGAATTCCTTTACAATTTGCCGCATTAAACCACCGTCCTCCCGGAATCCACATTGGCACGTATTTCACTAGTATAAGCAACAAAGAGCTTAGTGGTTACGTTTCGTATCGTGAGAGAAGGGCGTACGAGTAGGAAACGCTGTTATCAGTGCAGTGGGACCTGTCGAGGTGACTGCAAGTCCGATGTCACATCCTTCCACAACAGCTCGGAACGTGAGGTCGCTGTCAGGATCCGTAGGGAGTTCGTGCTCGTAAACCACACCCAAGATCACCACAGCAGAAACCCTAATCAAACAAGTTAATAAGTTAGGAAACGATCATCAGACATAAGATAAACAAACGTTCGAAGGTGCTTCCACCACGATGCCGGCGTGTTTGACAGGTTCCGTAGCAAATCTCCCACACAGCGGAGCTGCGTTGATTTGTACACAAGAATCGCTTCTGGACGTAGCGTTTGCTGAAGAACGTGCCGAATTCCACGCCGCGTGTCGTCGTGAGGAATCAGAGCTGTATCATAATCAAGACCATACCTGATATCAAAGTAAGTTTGTAGGAAGCTGCGTGCCGGGCCTCAAGAGTCTCGAAATTCTCACGGTTCTAGCATGTTGGACATGTCCAACCTATCGGAGTAGTTGCGAGAGCGTTTCTCCATCAAGTCGTCAGCGACCTTCTCTGAGTTGACGACTACCATGTCTTGTCCAAACATCTTTGTATACACGAGATCGCCTATACAATGTTTCCGGTCACCGTACTCTCAGATAGACAACGAAGGACAGTACCGTAGACAGCTCTCCATTCAGTAAACGTAAGCCACGGGTACCAATGAGTAGGAGGTGGCCCGGGCGGAAAGTTCCTTTTCCGGAGTCTGCGCCGAGCCTGGATAGTGGCGATGACGATCGCACCTATCAACACCGCAGAAGCTGAGACGGTAGGATGCATATGAGATAGGATGAAAACCACAACCTCTGAGGGAACTATTTATATGAATAGCCCTCGTTAGGCTATGCGGTCGGCTGACCGAGGAGAGCAGATTTCTGAAGGTAATCCTCGCCTCTCGGTATGAGGACCATGTCTTCTTTGCCGTCATGTTCGTGGGAAGCGGCTTCCGGAAGTAGTGGTCTTCGACATTGCTCGTCGACATTAGCCACTCTTGTACTAGCTGATATACTTAGTGGATCCCAGGAATACGCCGGAATCCACTGAATCCGCCCACGCGGGACCCTTAGCGGACGTCACAAGATTTGTTTTGAGTTGTATGCGGTGATGCGCAATACTTCACCAGAATCGACTCGCCCTGTCTTTCGACGGGCGGGGAATGACAACTTCGATCCATCATCTTCCGCAGGTATAAAGACAGGATGGCCCTTCCACTCCGGCAGGTGCAACCTCTGTTACGCTGTCATAAAATTTAGGAATTTCTCCCCGAGCTCGCGGTCAGTTTAAACGCTAACGATACAACTATCATTGTCAAAAGGCTAAAGCTACAGACTTGAGCGATAAAATACAAATACAAATCTGACGAACGCTAACGCTACATGGGGCTTTGCGATAATAATACAACGCAACTTCAAAGTCGACTCGCGTAGGTTCCGACACGCTTAGAAGTCCTTCTGGAGGTTCTGGGAAACGTGTTGCGAAGCTGAAAGTTATTCGTTAGAATAGTAAAACAGGACTAGAACTATATGACCGACTGACCGGAATGCTTGGCCTTCTCCTTATCCATAGCGTCCATACCCTTGGTCTCGGCTATCTTGTCGATGAAGCCGCCGGCGACGGCGGATCTGTAAACACGAAATTGTAAAAGATCAGAAGAATAGATCAGAAGAGATATAGAGGACGTACGCCATCTCTACCGCCTTGGCATGGTTAGCGGGCTTCCCCTTAGACTTGCAGTGGTTCTCGTAGGCCTTGGACGCCTCGTAGGCGGCGGCGCCGGCAAGCATTTCGTGGCCGAGGCTGCCCGTGTGTTTTCCCGTCGTCAGCTGGATAAATTCAAGGCGAGAAGCAAAGTAAACGGCTGTAAACGAGGGACATGGGTTGAGTGCACCTCCTCGTGGTCCTTCTTGTGGCCGAACATTTTATGAGATTTGTAGGCGTGTGTGGAATTATTGGAGGCTAGTAGAATATGAATGCAGGAGTTCTGAGTCGACGCAGAGACATGAGAGGGCGCTTATAACTTGAACTTGGAGAAAGGAGAGTATCATGGGTACGAGCACGAGTCGTCATTCAGCTCAGAGCGCAGCAGAGAGGGGCATTCACGAGCAAGATGCTGGCAGGCTAAAGACATCACGAGAGTGTAGATGGATGGGGAGCGGCAGAGGATCACTAGGAGTCGATGCACCGGCATGTCATGAGGGTTAGAATAGACCAAGGATATGTGAAATCAAAGAGACAGCTGGCCAAAATGAGCTGGAGCCAGGATATCAAATCGCCATGGTCCCGAGTATGATGACGATAAGTTTCAGAGAGGCAGGGATCGCTGGAGAACGCCACTAGTCTAATGAGCATTCACAGTGTAGGGGACACGTTTTCCTGGAATCCACACGAGTCAGCGCTTTCCTAACAATGCCATGGAGACTGTCGACCTCGTTCAGCGACGCGCCGGTACAGGCAAAAGCAATTGCACCACTCCGGGGGTGAGCGCATACGTGGGTTGCTTTAATTGTGCACCTTAATATCGTTCCTCCTTCGCTTTTCTTGTTTCATTTCTCGGCCCAGTGACGATTGGCGGGTACGAAGATCATGGGTAGAGGAAAGGGACCTCACGCGATCGGGTAAAGCCAGTCCAAGAAATAGGGGTATCAATCAACAGCACCAAACACGGAACCGCGCGGGTCGACTTCCTCCACTTCATTCCGAACGCGCTCGCCTTAACCTCCAGGTGCCCATTTCTCAGTGTCATGCCACTGTCCTTTTGACTTCAGGATCAACGTTGTTCTTCCAGAAACTCTCCATAGAATAAACTTTGCACAGTATATGCTATGGAGTGTTCCTATGAGAAATGCGATCCTGGAGCCCTCAAGCTCAAGTCTTGGTATTGAAAACCGCAAGCCGAACCAAGTCTAGCTTTCGTCTCTGCAGTATGCAAAGTATGCGCATTAGTTCGACGACATGCTTGAAGAAGACGTGGAGATGCAGAGCGTAGACTTCTATCGCAGTGTCCGTTGTAGGTGTACGTCAACCCCTTCTCTACCATGGCAAGCCCTGACACGTCGCATAGCCTAATCAAGTCCAACTACTTCGAGGGCGATTCTTTGAGTTCATTTCGTGGACACCTCTGACGTAGGAGGGTATGGGAAGCAGACTCTGGGTGGGTGGATATTTACGTATAGATGCCAATCAGCTTATCAGCTCCTCTCCTCATCAACACCCCAGTTCGTGGTTTATAAACCAATAAAGCATCAGCCCAGGTCGTTCCATCTTCCATCTGACCGTCATGTCAACGACAGCGTATACCCCCACCCGCGCCTGGTGGAAGTCCGCCGTCGTCTACCAGCTCTACCCGTCCTCGTTCCTCGACTCGAATGGCGATGGGATTGGCGATCTGCCTGGGATAACGTCCAAGCTGGACTATCTCAAAGAGTTGGGCGTGGATGTACTTTGGATGTCCCCGATATACTGCTCCCCGCAGGCGGATATGGGGTATGATATGTGAGTGCTTAGTTTGTATTGCTCAGCTCTTTTCTCTCTCTTCTTGAGCTCAGCGACCCCCTTAGTTCGGACTATCGAAATATCGACCCGCGGTTTGGGACTCTGGAGGACTACGACCACTTGGTGAAGGGTGCACATGAGCGAGGGATGAAAGTCATGTACGTTTCTTCTCGTCTCTTCTCGCGCACACCGTCGAACTCCGCACTCTCCCTACATCGATCTTATCAAACGCATATGGGGACGTAGATTGACGCCTTCGTAGGATGGATTTGGTAGTAAACCACACGTCTGACGAGGTAACGCACGTTCCTTCTCTCGCTGCCTGCTGGCCAAACTCATCTCATCTCATCACCACTCTTCCTCTCCGCAGCACGCATGGTTCGAAGAGTCCAGATCCAGCAAAGATAACTCCAAGCGTGACTGGTACATCTGGCGCAACCCCCGCTTCGACGAAGATGGGCACATGATGCCGCCGAATAACTGGCGGAGCGTGTTTCAAGGTTCGTATCCTCTCTTTCTGATATGTCCTCCTCTGTGACACGGAAGCTAGGCTCGGCTTGGGACTACGATGAAAAGACGGAGCAGTACTATCTACATCTGTACGTGAGCAAGCAGCCCGACCTCAACTGGGATAATTCCGACGTGCGCGATGCTGTCTGGGAGGTGATGCGCTTCTGGATCGGGCGGGGATGCGATGGATTCAGGGTGCGTCGACCAGCGTTTCTTATCCAGCTACCCGTGTACGTTGTTACTGACACGTTCGAAAGATGGACGTCATCAACCTTGTCTCGAAAGTAGAGGGCCTGCCAGATGCGCCGGTGTCCGACCGGTCGCAGTTCTTTCAACACGCAAGTTCGCTATACGCGAATGGGTGCGTACCGCGTATATCTGGGACGAGAGCGTACGCATATTGAACTCAGGACTTAGCCCTCGTGTGCACCAATACCTACAGCAGATGAACAAGGAGGTGCTCTCAAGTACGCTCCAATAATCCATGCCCGTTTCCTCTCTGACCTGCCTTCTGGACGTTAGAACACGACCTCATAACTGTCGGCGAAACCCCATTCACACACGACGACAGCGTGCTGGCCGAGTACGTCCTCCCGGACAACAAGGAGCTCAACATGGTCTTCCAGTTCGAGATCATGGATCTCGATAGCCCGCCTGAGGCGCCCCTCCTATATCGCCCGTGGAAGCTCACGGAGCTCAAGGGGATCATCAACAAGTGGCAGACATATAAGCGAGAATCCGGGTTCTGGAACGCGTGCGTTGTCCACCTTTTCCTTGCCATCGTCGTCGCTCCCTGCTCCAACGTCCACGTCTAAACTTCGAATGGATGCAGGGTGTTTATCGAGAACCACGATCACGCGCGCTCGGTCTCGCGCTTCGGAAACGACACGGACGCGTGGCGCACGCGCTCGGCGCAGGTGCTCGCGATGCTCGAGATCGCCCAGGGCGGAACAATGTACGTGTACCAAGGGCAGGAGATCGGGATCCGAAACTTCCCGAGGAGCTGGGGTGTCGAAGAGTATAAGGATGTGGCATCGATTAACTACTGGGAGATGTAAGTGCTAGTCACCATTTTCTTGCCCTCGCGACGGCGCGGCACGCTTCTGCCCCTATCCTATCAACAAGCGCCGGGGACGCATGGCAGTTCACGGATTGATATTGGATCCGCTGACGATCTCAACTCTGACACAATACCCACAGGATCAAAGCGCAACGCGCCAAATCCACCTCCTCGCCCAACTTCGGGCCAGACATGTCCGACCTCCTCGACTCCTTTCAGAAGAAAGCGCGGGACCACGCGCGCACGCCGATGCAGTGGGACGCCTCGCCGCACGCTGGGTTCACGCGGTCGCCGAACGGGCCGTGGATGCGCGCGAACGACGACTATCCGACTTGGAACGTCGCTGCGCAGCGTGCAGACTCGGACAGTGTCCTCGGGTTCTGGAGAAGGGCGATAAGGACGAGGAAAGAGTGGGAAGGGGTGCTGGTCTATGGCGATTTTGAGTTACTCCTACCTGAGCATGAGCGGGTGTTTGGGGTTGTCAGGAAGGGCGGAGATGGGGAGGTGGCGGTGGTGCTGCTCAACTTTGGTGAGGAGGAGGTGGATGTGAAGATAGAGAAACACGAGGTTTGCGGGACCCTCGATGGGTACGAGCTAGTTTTGGGGAACTACGACGACGCGCCGAAGGGGTTAGAGGGAGAGGTGAAGTTGAAAGGTTGGGAGGGAAGAGTGTATGTGCGGGCGGCTGCGGTCCGTAACTAAGAGGGCGCCGGCAGACTCAACATGTATAGATAGATTTCACTTGTGTACAAGTATACCAGTTTCTCAACTTGATTGAAATTGTTTTATTCAAGCTGGCCTAGGCGTTCTTGAGCTTGACACTACTAACGCTGTCCGTGTTGGACATGGATGAGAGCAGGATAGGCACAGCGGAAGGCGGGTGTTACCAACAGAATCATTCGCAGCGATGTTTCAAACAGCTGATACAGAATGCGTGTGTATATGCTACAGTCAAGCAACAAAGAGGAGGGCACCGCAGATGCCCAGCAAGAATAATGTAACGACTAGTACTCTTGACTCGCAGAGTACACTCGCATGAAAGGAAGGACAGCAAAAACCAAAAACGAGAATGCAAACGCGATAACCGCAGAGATATCGAAGCTAGCCAAATGGCAAAGCAAACCTAGACGAAGGCTCAGTGATCGCTACTCAAAGCGCGCCGCCGCCTGTGCTGCTTCATGCCCCTACGCTTCGACGTAATGTCATCCGCGACGTTCGCCTCGAGCGCACCCCGCTTGGATCGTTTCTTGGTTGAGCATGACTTGCTCCCGCTTGAGGATGTCGGCGTCGCTATTGCGCTAGAACCAGTAGGAAAGGCGACGCTGGCGCTCGAGGAGCTACTTATGTTACTAGATGTCGGCGTGCCCGACGCAGACGCAGACGTAGGCTCAGGCCCAGATCCAGATCCGGACGATGGCGAAGAGGCAAGCGAGCCAGAGCTGGTGACAAAGTCGGACGCATTGCTGCAGAAGGTGATTACGAGGTTGACCTATCAGGGTGTATTTGGGTTAGAGCTCAAGGAACGTTAGACAGTTCGAGAGGGAGAAGACATGCGTACGTTATTGGCCTGGCACGCCACCTGTACTTGGTTGTCATTGGGATTGAAGAACGCGGTGTTGCAATTTGCCGAAGAGCCTGTGAATGGATTTTTTGTCAGACGCGTTGTGATCAGGAGCATTTCAAGACAAGACGCACAGGTAGTTCCTTGACCGTTGCAGCCTCCGTAGTACCTATGAGTGCTGAGTTAGTGACATACATCATACGGGAAGGGGGAATTGCGTACGCAAACGACGTCTCGACGTTGTACTTATGACTATAACATCGCGTCAGTACATCAGACTGGTGCGTGAAATGTGCCGAGGACATACGGAGCGATCAAGGATATGTCGGTGCTCGACCCACCCCCAGCTACGGTCGGGTTGATAAGCGTCATCTCGAGGAGAGCACAGTTCTCCCCGTTGGCGAGGCATGGGCCTGGTGCCGAAATTCACACAAAGTCGCATGCGAGATAATGTATTACACTCACCAGTTTGGAGGTAACTTGTGACGGGAGACAGTCAGGATGCCATGATACGATAAGAGGTAGCGACACTCACGCGATGCCAGAGAAGGGGCCGTTGCTGGTGTAAGACTGACCGGTCGATATGTTCTTTCCGTCCAAGACGAGTGCGGGCTGTTGAGACTGCCATTAAAGACGCGTCAAGACTGTATTATTCTAAACGTACGGTCCCATATCCACACCTTCAGCCGCCCAGCTTCAATAAGCGATTTTGAAGCGCGACGATAGACTGACCTGTTGACAAAGCTGATAGTGTGCTGCTCGGCACTGACAAGGACCGTAAAGAATAGCACCACAATGCGTATAAAGAGAGAAAGAGTCATTTGAGAAAGAGCGTCAAAGAAAGAGCGGCGAGATGAAAGAGAAAGACGAGGTGGTGGATGGGAGGAGAGAGGAGGATGCAAGAGGAGGCGCTGAACGAACGCGCCCCGAGGACCCAACGTTCACACCACTCGGCGACACCCCTAACGGGAAGCGGCCCCAGTTGTTAGAGCCACGTGGCTACGCTTGTACCTAACGCGATGTCTCTCTGTCTCTTTGCTTGTCGATTACTAGCCCAGGTCTCACCTCTCGTCAAGTAGTATCGGTTAGTATCGACATCAGCTAACGCAGGCATCTGTCGACTTTGTGTGCGACCAATAACTTCAATCATGGTCATACTCGATGCACAGAAGCGGGCGGGGTCCGACCTGGTCCAACCAAGATGGAAGGGGGCTCAATTAATATCAGGTGGGTCCGTTTCCGAGACCGACTTGCTAATGATACGGATACAACCACCCGCTACGCTTATCCGTCGGCGTGTGATACGCAATATATGGCCTATCTCAAATGAAATCAGGTTCAAGTAGCAAAAGCGTGCCCGCACCAGGGTCGCCTGCTTGGATCATAGTCCGCGCGTCCAAGGAGCTCTCCAACCCTACGTGAGAACAGCGCATGGACCCTGTCCAGAACTATAAACATGATCATCGTCCCTCATTACGAAAAAAGGGTTACCGTTTATACTCGGTGCTCGTGGAAGGCTCCAGCCCAGCCATCAACTATCCGGTACAGTCTCTCAACGCCACGATAGATCCCCAGACTACCATGCTCTCAAGCACAGCCAAGAGCATCAAGCCTCGCAAAAGCACGGCGGTAAGGCGTAAAACTTCAAAGGTATTAAAGGTGCGAATTTCTCTAGTCCCATAACTCTCAGGTCTTTAAGTGTCTCATGCCCATTGTCACTAGTCGTCGAAGCACCAAGTTAGCCCATTTTCATTCGAGCCAACTTCAACTCCATACAGAACCCTCATATTCTCTCCCGGACATATCAAACAGCCCCGAGTTCGGAAATACATACCTTTCGTCCTATCAGGTTCTTACTATGCCGAGGAGTTTGTCCCCATCCCATCACCGAAACTGGTCATTGTCTCGGGCATCGGAACCGACTCGAAGCCCAAGTGGCAGGACCGGATCGCTTTCGAGTACCCTCGGGATAATGAAGAGTTCAGCAAATGGAGCGCCGTTAGCCTACCGGATTGTCTAAAGGGAAGTGGGATACGGGGTGGAGATCAGCGCTTGTTCCAATGCAAAAGGCGAGATTCGGGCGACAATGCGTCTATATATGAGTCGGAGGACATAGACAACGCCGAGACCCTTCTGAACATAAACGAGGACGTTCAAGAACTGATGCTTGAAATAAGGGTACGTCTCTTCTCGTGCCATAACTATCATGGCCAGCCTATTTACTTCCGTCGCACAGTGGCCAGGCTACCCCAACCTTTGCTGGAGCCCACGCATCCCCATCGGCCCTCCCCACGCACGTATCACCCGACACACACTAGCAACCCGTATTGCCTCCCAATTCCGCAAGCTCTTCGCAGCCGTCGACTCCCCCAACTATATCATTTCCGACCACCCTGCACTCATGCATGCGCATTCACCAGCTACGGAGAGCGAAGCGCGCTGGCGCCTCGGCGTCAAAGGCGGTGGCATCACCTTTGACCGTCTCTCGCTCGTTGCGGTTTATATAGACGATAGTGGAACGATGCGGCCCTCACTACGAGCTCTCATGGATCAGAATGCACCAGGCGGGTTTGCAGCACGGGTGGCTGCTGTATATGAGAGTAAATTCGGGCAAGGCTCACGAAGCAGTTGAAATATTGTAGCTCAGTGACTCGTTTCATCGGAATAACATCGAAACTCTGTATTAATTACAATGTTATCATTAGAAATACCTCACGTTACGTTGGCGTGACTATCTCTGAAGCTCTCGCGCCCCGCTATCTTGGGGCTATCTACCACGCTTACACAACAATGGTCATCTCTCCGCAAAACCTGGCCGCCATCGACCGCGATTGTGCAAAGCGTTACGTCTGGCTCCCATGCAATGCCCCATGATATCCTAAGGATCACGAGCAGCGGGGCGATGATCTGTACCTGGGACAGCACAGCGATCATGAGATAGTAAGCCGGATGACGAGCAAGGTAGAGTCCCGTGAAGATAGCGGACGTGACGGTGAAGAGCGCAGAGGACTCGAGGATGATTGGGGTGATATTGGTAAAGTGCTTTGGATGAAGAAAGCGCTTGCCTGCGAGCACTCCAGTTAGCCGAGTAAAGGCAGTCTGAATAGAGAAATGTGCTGCGAACCAACTGTTTGAGTAAGCCAGCGACGGAAGGCATAAAGGCGGCCTGCGATGAGCGATGTTGTGAAAACGTTGAAGACAACAGAAGTGACGAAAGCTGGGATCGTCATCTTGAATGCATCTGCAGAGTAGAAAGTCTTCCCTGGCAGGGAGTCGGCTGCAACTGCCATGAAATCGAGTGCTGCATGCCGTCATGTAGTATATCTCATTATACGGGCCAGGGTCAGGCGATGGGGTAAGGCGACTCACCGACAACAGCCAAGTACAGGAGAACAGAACATGGCAGTAGGTATGGATACCACTTTGACTTGTACCATACCGCTCGAAGGCGCCAAAGCTGCCCATCATAATCTCCTATTAGCACCCTTGGGCGTACTCCCCACTCAACGATAAGGCGCACCAGAAGACCGTCGGCGAGGCAGTTCGCCACCATATAAGATGCGTCTGCGAGGATGAACTCCGGCAGTTGAAAGTCGCTCCACTCCGCCGGGCTCTGCAACTGCATTCGAAGTGCGACATATCCGTCTTGCACCGTCCGCGCCATGGAGGCCACGTAGAGTGTTCCGCATATCCACAAGAGCGTGACGTACCCAACTTGGAGGGTGAGCCTGAGCCTGGATGGCTCTCCGCACGGGGTGCAGTGGAAGAAAGCGTGGATGCAGGCAGCGGCGAGGACGGTCATGAAACCATAGAAGATGCCGCAGACGGTTGTGCTCCCGAAGAGCTTCATGCTGTCGGCGAAAAGCTCCTGGGACGTTTCAGGTCGGAGCGTAGTGGTAGCCATAAATATATGAAAGTGGGTGCCTCTCAAAGGCACTCGGCTTGTCGTTTATGGCCGGGAAAACGGGTAAGAGAGGACGGCAGGGGCTATCAGTGGGAGCAAGGTTAACGAGGTGCGATAACAAATGTGAGGATCCGAAAGGCGACAGGGCGTAATGAATAATGGGGCACCACATCACTGCAAACATTTCTCAATAATAGTGGCATTGTTACTTTAAAATTATTTTAAATGTTAAGGTGAACGGGTTTCAATAATTAGGTCCTCATTATTTTATTTTCTATCAAAGACAGGAAAGGAAGCGCCTGTCACTGACCCTTGTCTTTGATAAAGCTTTTAAATAACGAGGAGCTAATTATTGAAACCTGTTCACCTTAATATTTAAAATACTTTTCAAGTAATAATGCCACTATTATTAAGAATTGCTTGCAGTGCATGGTTTCTGCAGCTTTCGGAATTCTCCGCCATTTACTCAAAGTGCTCACCGGCACCTCCGACCTTATTACTCCCAAGTATTAGTGCTCCGCTCCCTCCAACATCTTGTAAGTTGTTGACTTCGCACAACCGTCTTCGCCCTAACGCAACTCTGCAAAATCATCCAAGCTTCTCAATTGATTGAGACGTTCCCGCATATCATTACATGTGTAAATATCAAAGATCACATTGCACAGATTAACAACAAGTTGAACTACTACATAATACTACTGTACAGCACGATAGATGATGTCCGACGTGGAGCCACCGCCCCGATGAACAATAAAATTAGCTAATAATAGAATAAGAATCATTACATGTACCATGATCTACGAGCCACCAAGACACAACGTAGACCCTTTGGCGCCCATTTCTAATCGTAATACCCAGTGAGATTTAGCAAATACAACAAAGACCCATGCTCGAGAAAGATTGGTCCGACTGCGCGACCTTTCCCCTCTTCCTTCAACTTCCCTTACCATCTGCTGCGTACCATCTCTACCTTCTCTGCCGTTGTTACAGACGCAACACGGCTCGACTCATTCGAGTGGGACCGAACGTAGGCTGCCCAAGTCAATCTCAAATGTCTGCTGGAACGTTGTGACGCCTCTGTGCGCGGATTGCCTTAGTAGAGAATCAAGGAATTATACCACACACTACGTACTCGCCGATCCGGGTGGTGAACGCTTGCTCGGTGTCACCAATGGGGGCCTGGCGCCAGAAACTAGAATATTGCTCAGGCTTCTTGTCGACGATGAGCGACATGACGGCGCGGGAAGAAATAATCATGCTCAAGGTTGTCGCTAAACTAACAGGGTGAGCGTGGGTTCCAGTGAAGATAACGTACAAGGAATATCTCACCTGGTGGACCGGTCATTTCGGTCATAACATCTGAAGTCAGGAGATATCAGGATGCTTCCGAAAAACTGACAGTCGTGGTGAAACCCCTCTCAGTGACGCACCGTTAAGATATAGCAGATAGAACACCTTCAAAGACGCAGTCAGCGTACCAAGGCAATACACATCACAAAAGATTAAATTACCGCTGGGAATACATTGACCACGGACATTGTCGCAACGTACATAACACCCTGACGGCGGAGCACCGCACCGAGAGGGTTTGATGGTTGCAGACGCGAAAGGCCGACAACGGTCAAGATGAGCACAAGGAAGTCGTAAGCCATTGTGTAGATGAAAGCGATCCCCATGCTGATGTGGTTTGCGTCAACTATCGTGCAGGAGTTAACGCTCCACTTGGCGGACCTAAGGGCTCCGGCTGGCGTGTAACCGACCCACAAGTATTAAGTCTGTGTTGATACGGGAATTAAGGATGCGTGAGACGTACCGTACATGAGAATGAACGCGTGGCCACCGGACATGAGAGAGAAAAGGATCGCAGCCGGCCAACAGCGGTCCCAGATGAGCCAACTGTAATATCAAACAATCAGGGAAGTTGGTCTTTTTAGGGACGAAGATAGAAGGGAGTGCTTACGCTCGTAGCACGAAGTTGACAGTTGCGAACCACACGACGCTATTCCCAAGAATCTAGCGTGTCACCAGTTAGTTTGTAATGGTAAGTCTTACTTTTAGGCATGCACGCACCGGTATTGCCTTGTAAAGAGCTGGTAGTCGGTGAATAAGTGACAAGGTTGGCAGTACAAATCCCATAAACCCGACGAACCGAAACAGTTCTTCCTTACACCACTCGGAAACGTCGCGGTAACGCTATATTGCATGAGTTTGAAATACCCTCGAAAACCGACCAATGCACTCACATTAATATCAAGCAAATGAGCATGCAAAGACGACCAAGAACATAGGGGATCTTTTCGCGCTACGTAAGGCCTATATTGTCAGAATAGTACGCGAGAGGGAACCTCACCAGCGATGGATGAAGCGCGGTCGTGCGTCTTATGAGCGAGATTTCTACGCGAAGATGGAGTAGGTATTCCCAACTAAACAACGTTGCGCGCCCGTCATTTTGACCGCCATTAAGTAGATGCTGTTTATGCACCTATAAAGGCCCAAGAGAAAAACTCCGATGAACCGCTGCGTGTGTCTGTCCTGTTCGACGGTATTGGGTGATGACCAGTCTACCATGGTCGGGCGATGTGTGTCAGCGTTAAAGTCGAAGAAGAACCAGACGTCGCGAGGGTGCTGTAAGTGTGGTATGTTTGATATGGGGGAGGTCGTGCAGATGAATTGACGTCGTCGACCATATAAATAGGCGGGAGCATCTGGATCCACGTTTAGCCGCTGGGATGAGGTTACAGAATAGAGTAATGAAATATCGCCAGCTCGCTCACCGGCGACGGATCGATTTCTCGTGTCCTACCGTAAATTTCATTCCATTTCCCTTCGCCCCGCAAGTACAGCTTGGGGCTCAAGGGAAGCTTTGCGGTGTGTGCGGGTTTTCTCAGGGCCCCTGTGGTTGTGTTTGTAGTATGCCCAAGATCTCCGAGAACACTATGTCGAGACGAGACCGGCCTAGACGTACAGGAGGCCTGGGTCGCTCTGGTCGTGCCTTGGGCTCCTATGCGGGCCCGTCAAGGTGCCGACCAAGCCTAGGTTTATTTCAAAATAAAAATAACCAATAGCATTGGGTGTGTTTCTTAGCCAACCGGGACGCGCCTGTTTGAACGAGTTGCTAATATTAGTTCCTCGCTTGGATCCAAGGCCGAGAAAGTAGGAGATTTGCAGCGGCTAGTACTTACCGTGGACATACATCATATTTCATGTGATTAACATCAAATTACGGGTTCAGTGGGGCGAAGTTGAGACGTTTGGCTTAACCTGAAGCTTGAAAGCTCCAAAAACACATCGTGCGGTCCTCGGATGACTTGACCCATAATACCATGTGTGTTACGTTTGCCGGCATGACCCCCGTATCCAATATTTATCACCTCAAGTTAGCGTACAGATGATTGACTTTGGAGCAATGCGTCTATGTATGCTGATGAGTTTCTTAGCAGAGTCGATGTATGGTTCTACCCATATTGCCTCATGCCTTCCTTGCAGCATGTTCCCAAAGTTTAACGTTTAGGCATCGGAGCCATTTTTGTGACTGTCTGCGTCGGAAGTGGGATATGATGTCTATGACGTCAGGAGTTGTAGCTACAGGTCCCGGCCCGTGTCGGCGCGCTCGGATATTAGCGCAGCGGAGTCCCAATATAGCGGACAATGGACTTGGTCAAAAAACTTGAAGCCGAATACAAACGCGCTAACCAACTTGCAGCCAGCGAAGCAAAGCTACGAACTCTGCATCAGCTGGCACACTTATTGACCTGATATTTGCATCTTTGCTCAACAGGGCTCTCATTTGTCGATCGGAGGCTGACTCAGAGGTCCTGCCCGTAGCCAAGAGACGGCAATTGATGGCGCTCAAGGCGGAAAAATTCTCCAACACGCGCATATATACACCCACAATGCAAGGCATGGCAAGTGCTCGGATTAAAGTCTACGCGAGCAGATACTGAAGGGCGGGGCAATATCAGGATTTACAGTCATCGGCTACCTGTTACTGTCAAAAGATGCAAGCTGGCGCTACTGTTGATCCATCTTGGTTGCGCTGGGCAACTGTCGACTCCGACAAAACCGTGCATCCCTTCGTGACGCCCAACTGCATCTCTCCGCGTCGGTTGGGCTGACATCAAATGCAAACTGATGCGTTATCCAGGGGCCGTTCATCCTACGCGATGCAACGTGTTATCCAAAAGTTCGAAAATGGACTTGTTCGTATGCTCTGAATCGCATGAATCTTTCGTTCTAGGGCGCGCCCCAAGTCACTCGGGCGCTTCGCTGCGTCTCTCTTTGGTCTAAGGGCGGTGCATCCGAGACCAGCATGACGCTGATCGAGTCCATTACTGCGAGACTCTCGGCCTTGAGGCTGGTGAGTATCTATTGCTTTATGCCGCATTTGGTTGACAGCCTGTCGATGCGCTGATATATGTCTAAATTCTGTCGCTTACTCATGACAGCACAGATTGCCATTGGCTGGGACTCCTTGCCCTGGGACCCACAAACATAAATAAGCGCGTACAACCTTCCAAAAAAGGCTTGAGTGCTGGGTAGGAACCACAAAGCATGTCGTACATGCGGCAGGGCAAGCGCCTAGTGCGTTGCCGAACTACTTCCCGGGACGTGGTCTGCCTTGCCAACCGGACAGTGAGGCACCGCGAATAGCCGGGCATCTGCGCTGATTTATAAACGGTGAATGGGTTCAACTTTGGCTCATCTCATCGTTCACCTCATCCAGGTTCCAGCACCATCGCCTCAAAGCATTTCACTCACGTGTATGTGAGTGCGCTACTCTTCTAGCTACTGCCTCCCGCTAACGGGCATAATTGTCTTAGTTCTTTCAGTCTCGTCCGCTTTACCATGGAAGATTGGACACAAACGAGCTCACTAGAAATGGCGCTTCAAAAAATCAAGATACCCATCCTATCATTGCAAGTTCAGCGACGACCTCCGCTCTGTCGGCCCCGGTACACCCTAGCGCCCATCGAATCCCTTCCGAACGAGCTCCTCTCCGAGATCTTCGCGTTCGGCGCCGGAGGAGCATCTACTGTCTCATTCGACGACTCTGACGACTTTCACGACCTCATTTCCCTCCCCATCACCGTCTCCCATGTGTGCCGTCACTGGCGCCAAGTCGCCTTGTCTACGGCGACCCTGTGGTCGACGATTGTCCTTACGTTCCCCAGCAGCTCGGTTCAGCTCACGCGGACCCTGACTTGGCTCCACCGCTCTCGCAATCGCGCACTCCATCTGTTCCTTGACTTCCGTGACCCGGACTGGAATTGGTCGGAGAATACCCATCCGTTCTCATGGAAAAGCATGGAGAACGTCATGCGTCTCCTCGTACCCCACGCCCACCGCTGGTCGCGTGTTGAGCTCCTCACCGACACCTGGTCCCCCATCTTCACCTTCCTCTGGTACGCGTCGCGTATCACCTCCGCCCCCATCCTCGAAGACATCAAGGTCTCGCGCTGCAACGCCTTCTTCGCATCCAAGGGGGAGACGTTCCGCCCGCTCGACATGCGCACGCCCATCGCGTGGTTCAACAGCGGTACCGCACTCACAAACCTACGGCGTGTCAGCCTCGCGGGCGTTCACGTGGACTGGGCACACGCTGGCCTCGCAGGGCTCGAGGAGCTCGAGCTCAAGTTCCACGCAGCAGACGTGATGCCCACCCTGCGCGAGTTTGCGGACATAGTCGCCGCGTCCCCTAATCTGCGGCGCCTCGCCGTCGTGGGGTGGGGGCCCCGTCTGGGGCCCTCAGACGCCGCGCAGGGCACGACGGACCCCGACTTCGTTAGGGCACAGCACAGCGTTCGCCTACCGAACCTGGAGGAGCTGATGCTGGGATATGTCGACGCGGCCTACGCCGTCGACTTCCTTTCCCTGCTTTGTATGCCTACGCTGCGCCATCTCAAGCTGGAAGATCTCTCGCCTCTTCTCGCCGCCGTGGGCCCGAGGGAAGATGTTACGCCGTTGCTCGAGTACGCCCTGTGGTTGTACTCGTCCCGGTGTCCGAGAGAAGCTCACTCTATTAGCTGCTGCACGACCAAGTGCCTACCCCTATCTACGCTCGAAAGCCTCGAGCTGCGCTCCGTGCGTGTGGCGAGCGGCAGCGCCGGTCCCATACGGAGACTGCTCCAGGCATGCTCATCGCTTCTTCGGCTCCGTTTGACCAATCTAGACGATGCAACGCTGTGCGCCTTGTTACCCTCGTTGATCGACGAGGCACCACAGGACGTGGGGTTAGGTGTAAGCACGAGCGCGAGCACCGGCGGAGGGCTTGTACCGTCCACACTCTGTCCAAGCCTGGAGAGTCTTGAGTGCGCTCACAGCGAGAAACCTGTCCTAGCTAAGCTTTTCCAGATCTCGCATGCGGTCGAGAGCCGTCCCGCATCCCCAAAACGTGTCCATACTTCAATTCTATCTGCATAGTCCCTGACTCATAGAGGCCTTCGCCTTCGAATGGGGCCCCCAGCGGCCTTTCTTTGCCCACATCGCTCCTTTGCCTTAACTTGCTCCCCTCTTTCCCTATCGCATCTCTATCTCCCATCCATCATATATACGGACAATCGCCTCACTGATCATCCATCCATCCCATAGCCATCCTTAGAACCGCACCGATCATTCATGACCATCTAGCCCCTTTCATATCTTTGGACACCACACGTTCCCTTTCCTTTTGCAACCGCTCTCTTCCCACTTCCTGTCTATCTGCTATTCGAGTCTCGTGTCCCGCATCTACCTGCCGCTTTCTTTTCCTTTCCTACGCATAATCATGGACTGTTTCACCTCTTCACCCCTTCACACGATCACCTTTTCCACCATTCGTTTCGTCGTCATCCCATGCTGCATCCGTGTTTCGTCTCTGCATGGACATAGGCAACTTATTCAATTATCTCTGAGGGTATTTTTGTTTCGCATTGATCAGCTACGACGCCCATATGAAGGCTGTGATATATAATCTCGGTCCCCTCCCAATAACAATTATCTACTGCGGATCACTTTCAAAGGTGACGTTTAAATCAACGCGAATGAACTTAAGGGAGTGCACGTCTCGGTCGGCGTAGTAGACCTCGATTATAAGGTCAAGCTGCTGGGCGCAATCCCACGCATTTTGGGGAGGCCCTTGGGCTAAAATGGAGTCGTATATAAGACACAATTTATAGAACTGACCAGCTTGGGCGATAGTTCCCTTGACCGTGAACAAGATACGCCACCGCCATCAGAGGCGTCCGCCATTGTCAAGCGCCGCCATTTACCAACAGTGATCCTTGAGGATCCTTGACAAGGGTCTGGTTAGAAATATCTATCAGAGTTCCATTGGCCACTCGATCAAACGGATTTGGCCTATGGCACGACTAGATTGTACTGGCGTCTCCTAATTACACCCGCAACTAATTAGCAGTAAACAGTAAGACAGGCGTATGTGCAGTTAAGTATCATCGATAGGCGTGATCATCAGCAAAAGAGCAGTCGTTACACGGGCGTTGAACACGTAGGGTGGCATATGTACAGAGCGCTGACAGTGACGTAGGATCGTGAGCGTTCGTCAGGAGGCCCGTACATCGTGGGGGGTCGTTTCGTGGAGGGTTGAGTGACGTTAAGGAATAAGGATAGATGAGATGCGCGTCCCTTACGGAGAGCACATCCACCTTCTTAGCTTATGAACAAGAAAGAGGGGCATAGGGCTTTAGACAATGGACATAGACATAGACAATGGGAGGGATCGTGGCCTTAGCATCAGCGGCGTGAGGGTAGATGATTCGTGATGGGCGATGGTTGTCAGGAGGTAAATGCTGGGCGGCTTAGATCCACACTGGTTTCGCGGTCGCAGTAGAAGTAAGGCGAGAGCGGGGACGCGGCCTGGTTAGCTTGAGCGAGTTGTCCGATCTGTGTATGGGGGAGGCGATGAGCTCGTGATAATCGACAAATTTGAGTGACCAGACTTACGCCATATAGCCTTGGGAAAGCTTCGTAATCGTTCCGTTCTCCTTGTTCTCGTTCGCGGAGCGGCTGGTAACTGTCTTGGACCAGCCGGCTGTCGGGCGACGAGGTTCGTTGACCGTGTTCTGGCCCTGAATCCTGGTTTTAGACTTCGAATTGTCCTTGGCCTTGAGGCCGGGGCCACGGGGAGAAACGATCTCCGAGTGCGCGATATTCGGGTTAATAGACAACTGACGGAGAGGGGTGGGCGGCGCAGATGTTTTGGACATGGACTTCTCTGCGGCGTTGGCGATGGCAGCAGCGCGACCGGGAGAGAGCGGAGATGGCGTCCTGACCGAACGTGGGTAAGGAGAGGCCCGGGGAGAACGAGAGCGAGCGCGGTTGGCGCGAAGTTCAGAAGGAAGAGGTCCGAAGCACTCCTGCGATTCCTCAAGTATCTGACGCATGCCTGCGCGTTGACGAGGAGGGCTGAAGTCTGACGAAGACTATTTAGCTTCAGTCGAGAGCATACGACGACGACTCACTTTGAATGGCCCAGGTCGAGAAAGGGGTATCCATCCATACCTTCTTACTCTCTTCGACGGTGCCTTGTGCTTCCTCGCGGAGCGCGTAGTATCGGCGGATCGTGGTGAAGGTGATGTCTTCATCCCACTTCGAGAGCGAGTCCGACGAGGTAGTAGCAGACTTAGCGACATAAAGGGGGTGCACTGTCTGTTCCGTCGGATCAACAGGCGCTTGCAGCTCCGTGGTGGATTGGTTCGCGGATGGGGTATAAGCACACATGGCCGTCATCTCCTCCTCGATTGTTTCGTAGATTGACGCACAAGAGAGCCGTGCTTCCGAGATCCGTTTGCGATGATCGTGCCCACGAGGACGAGGACGCGGGCGACCGAGAGCGGGCGCACCAGAACCATGGCTCATGTTCGCAAGGATTGAGTTGATCTCGGAAAAGTCGATACTCTCCCGTGAGCTCTCGGAGAAAGACGAGTGACTGCCGCAGTGAGAAAGGGGAGGGGTATCAACGCCGGAGTAGGATGTCACAGTGCTAATGCTCGTGGCGGTGTTCGAGCGGGAACGGCTGGCACGGACAGGGCGACTAAAGACGGTAAGCGGGCGGTTATTGACTGAGAACATGCATCGTTAGTGACGTTAACAGTGAAATGCGCCGTCGACTTACATGAAGCTGAACTATTCTCACCACTTGCAATGAGCACCGACTCCTCCAGACTGTTCCTAGCGAGGACGCCGTACTTAGCCCTGATCATCCTCTCATCACCAAAGTGGGGCGAAAGAAAGGAAGCAGCGTTGGAGGCCTTGGTCTCATGGGCCCATGATTTTCTGACAGAGACGCGTTCGGCAAGACCGGACAGGCCAGAACGGAATGTGTGGCCCGGCTTCGACTCAGTAGGTTCAGATCCAGACTGAGGCATGGCGTCGGGTTGCTGCTCCGAGTCGCTTTGATGGTTTCCGGATGTAGACTGAGGCTCGGGATCGGGACGGCTCTCAAGGGCGGGCTGTGGCACGGAAGCGACCTGCTCTTCGGGGTGAACCTCGAACTTGAAGCTGGGTTCTGCCTCGAAAGTTGAGTCGAGATACATCATCGCAACGTGTCCCATCTCGGACAGCTGCTCGAGGTCGGAGTGCTCCTCGACGTCGTCGTGGTCTTCCTGTTCCACCTGATGCTCGGCCTCCGCATTGAGCTGCAGTACGCAGGCATGCGCGATGTCGAATTCGCTCTCGAGGTCGGAAGGAGGCTCGCTCTCGACCGTGTCGTCCACTTCAGACTGAGGGCTGGCGTCCGATTCGTGTTCGGACTGAGGACTGATTTCGGACCAGTGCTCGTCGTCGGACTGTTGCTCGTGAACAGGCTGCTCAAACTCAAACTCCGAGTCATCGGCCGGAAGCGGCCTATTCTTCTCGGCGCGAGCGCAAGGCGACCCAGCGATAAAAGATCCAACCGAGCGTCTGCGAACTTGACCACCGCCGAGCATCTGAAACAAGTATCCCCGTCAGCGCCACTTCAGTCCGAGTATTTATGGATGAAACTCACGCTAATCATAGTATCGTCCTCCTGAAGCGAGCTATGCACGCTCGGAACACTCAACGACGAAACCGGCCTGTACTTTGGCATCGCCTGGTTATCCGCCGCCTGCGGCCTCGGGTTCGGAGCGCCAAAGAACACAGAATCGGCTAGCGAAAGCTGGCTGCGCGCCATCTGGTCAAAAAGGGAGTCCGCCGACCCCAAGGTCCGGTGCGTGTCTGGCTGCGAGTACGGGGATGTGCCGTCCATGACGGAGTCGAACGTGTGGTTGGGGAAATTGGACACCCGCTCGCCTCCAAGACCAAGCGCCGCAGCGAGGCCACCGCCAGGACCAGCGGCGCTGAGGTCGATGACCATGCTCGCGCTACGAGAGCTGCTGGCGCTTTCTGCCGGCGACGCGTTGATCGACCGCAGCGGCATGCATGAGTCCAGCATCTTGTCTCCAAGACCCGGACGTTCGATGCCCGCGTTAGAAAAGCCGCTCACCGCCGAGTCAAAGGAGAACTCGGGGCTCTGCGCCCATGACATGCGGCCCGCATGAGCGTTCGCAAACCCGCGAGCCACGGAGCTCATACTGTCCATGGTATCGTCGAGATGATCAGCAGCAGAGTGACGCCCTTGCTGGCCGAAAGACCGGTTGTACATGCTGATAGGCGGCGCCGTTGAGAAAACCGAGCCGACAGACTGGCGGTGAGCGTTCCGGGCGAGCGCGTACGGGCGGATGTGCGAATGGATAGACGAGCGGAAGTAATAGCTCGATGCGCCACTGTCGACACGCTGGCGGCGACGCGGCTGGTGGCGGAGGAAAGAGAACGTATCGTCGACGTTGCTCGACACGAACGAGAACTCGGCAGACGCTGGGCTCGTGCTACTCTCGCTGAGACTCGCGAGGCCAACGCCATAGTCGAAGGGATCCGAAACGCCAGCGTTGATAGTTCGACCGTACGAGGAGACCGAAGGAATGCTGAACATCGAAGTGCGCTTGCTGTGGGCATTTGCGTGGGGGTGATGCTGCGTCTGGAACTGCGGCTGCATCTGGAGTTGCGATAGCGAATACTCCGAGAACCCCGCTTGCTCCTCGTAGAAGCTCGGCCGCTGACCATTGAACTCAGAGCCACGTCCGACCTCCATGAACGACTCGAACCCCTCGAAGCTGAAGGCCGACGACTTCTTGACGTGGTGGAGGAACGACGCACGCGCAGCCGTGAGACGAGCATGGCGCTTTGAGCCGGTACTTCTGTTAGAATCGACCCTAGAGCGAGCAAACACCACGCGCGAGACGCGTTTAGAACTCGCATTTGAGTCGAGGCGCGGGCGAGCGCGGACTTGGCCTGGCTTGGCGAGGATAGACTTGAGTCCCGGGCTGCTGACGGCCTCGGTAGGAACATCAGCGGTGGCAGGCTTAGAGAAAACGGTAGGCTTTGTGGCAAGCGACGACGGAGTCGGCGGCTCGGCAGCCTTCTCTAGGATGGGCCTAAGCACGCTGTACTCGCTTGAGGTGGTGGAGATATTGGCGAGCGCAAAAGCGACCTCGGGCGGTGGGATGATGTCCGACAGAGTCAGATGATGCGATGGAAGCGTAGGTTTGCCCTGCTGGACTTTTGGCGGCTGAGGCGGGAGGATAGGAGGCGGTCCAGAGGGCGGCGCACGCCCACCGAACTTGAAGTTCATATTGAGCTCACCCTCCAAGCCCTGCGACGTGTGTGCGGGCCTGAACATCGCTTCCGGACTGTGCTCTTCATCAGTCGTGGCAAAGTCATCAGTCACAGCGTAGCTGCCTTGCAGAACCGAGTCCTCCGTCATCGCATAGCTGTCCCTGGCAAAGCTCTCCCCGCCGGGGAACAGCGACGGCTCCTGGTTGACGCTCCGGGGGAAGCTCTGCCGCGGGTAAGGCATCGGCGCGGGTGAGAGCCCACCAGGCTTTCGCGCAAAGCGAGCAAGCTCCGCCTGCAGTGAGCTCGGCATGGACGTCTCTCCTTCCTCTGCGCAAGCGTCGCCTTCGGACCACGACACGTCGTGTTCTACGTCGCGAGTGGCATCGAGATAGTTAGTACAGCTACCTTGCGCAGCCTCCTCGCCGCTAGGACTGAGCATGCTGTCGCCAAACTGCAGAGAGAAGTTATACCCAAGGTCGATGCTTGCAGGCATACGGAACGCGTTCTCGAGTTGCTCGACAAAGCTCCGTCTGTCGCCCGCTCCCGATTCATTTAACCTGTGGATCTCGCCCGTGAAGTCGAAGCTCTTCTTTGTATCGACCGTGTGCTCCCCGTCCGTGTCGCCGAACCCGTCCGAAGAATTGCCATCCCGGTGGTCGTGGCCAAAGTCCGCGCCAACATCCGAACGCCGGTCATGCTCGTCGATAAGCTGAGCGCGGAACACAGGCATATGCTCCGAGTAGACAGACTCCGAGCTACCAGACCCCGCGCTCGACGCCGACACTGGCCTCGAGAGCGGTGGCAGCGACTGCGCGGGCAGCGCATCGGGCGACGACAGCGCCCACGACGACATCGACTGCGCCTCGTCCTCTGAGCGCCCGTACGGCTCGCTATCCCGTCTCGCGAAAACCGCCCTCAGGTCCTCGGGCACGTCCGAGTCCGGATCGTTCTCATCCAGCTCGATCTTTTCTCCCGTGCTCGTCGTCGACCCACGGCCCAAGGTGCCCTTGAACGCAAGGCTCCTGCGAGCGTCAGGAGCCAACGGAAGAGGCAGCCCGTGCGCGTCGCTGTACGCCACGCTTTCGCGACGCAGGCGCGCACCGAGCTGTCCGAGAGAAGCAGCCGACGCAGTGGATGCGGTGGAGGAGCGCTTGTCGAGTGGTTTCTTGAACACTAGACTGTGCACAGCACTGCTCGCAACCGACTCGGAGCGCTCGTGCTCGTGCTCGCCGAACGTCTGCTCAAACGGCAACTTGAACACCTTGTCCTCCTCCTCTCCCTCCGCAGCATGCGTGGAATCTGACTCCGCCTCGACGACCACTTGCATCTTCTCCTGCGCCATAGCGAGCATGGACGCCTTCGGCCTGAGCGTGCCCACCCCTGATGTGGACGGACGCAGAGCCTTGAACACGGGCGGTGAGATCTCAGCCGGCGGCACCATGTCCATCTTCTGGTCCGAAATGATCGACGCGCGAGGACGCAGACGCAGCTTGGCCCTGGACGAAGCCGTCGACCGAGAAACCACAGACAACGCCGACTTGCGTGCACGCAGCGTGCCAGTGCCCGGGTTTACACTCGGCGCCAGGCGAGATTCCTCGTTGTCGTTAGAGGGAGGGGCAAGAGCCGCGGAGCTGGGGTCGGCAGGGTTGACAGCAGCATTGAACGTCTCCCAAGGCTGAATATGCCTTCCGAGCCCCACCTCTGCCGCCTTCTTCTTCGCGGCGTCCTGGTCCTGATCGAAGATTGTCGCCAGACTCTGCTCCCTCTGATGCTTCGCCTGACCCTTCTGCGCGTACGTTCTCAGACTCGTCACCGACGCCCGGCTAGCGAGGCTCGCAAGGCTCGCACGGAGCGTCAACGCCTTGCGCTGTCCACCCGCGCCCTGGCCCTGCAGCCGACTAAGCGGGCTCTCGAGCACCGCGCGGCGCGTCGCACTGTCCGCGATGCCTCGGCCAGTACTGCTGCCAATAGTAGCGCTCCGGCCAGCATCAAACGGCGAGCGCGCCCCAGACATGCCCGACATAGGCGTCGCCTCGAGATCGAGCGTGTTGATCAACTGCGCGAGCTCGTCGGTTGCGCCAGCCAGAAGCGACATGACCGCGTGATCTGCATCGTCGCCCAATCAGTCATTCACATCCACCGAAAGAGACAAATGCTATGAACAAGACTCACCGACATCTCCATCCGAATCTTCATACATGGCCTTCGGTCTCGTATGGCACAGCAACATCTGCTCACTCTTCGGTCTCTGCCGCACCTTGGGCCTCGCCGGTGTTTCACACGGCGTCGGCGGCGGCATCGACACGTCGCATTCAGCGCTATTGCGCGCGCTGTCCAGCGACGGCTTCTGCACAGTCACCACAGGCGCAGCCACCCTGGCAGCGTCCTCCTCCGCGTCCTTCTTCATCGACACCGAAGACGAAACGCTCCGAATCGACGGAAAAATAGACGTCAGCGGCACGCGCTTTCCCCTCTTCTCCTTCTCCTTCTCCCTCTCCTCCCTCTCCCCGCCCTTCTCTCTCCCCGCCTCCGCTTCCTCCCTCTCCCTTCTCCTCGCCTCCCGCACAGTCCGCAGCGCAGGCTCGTCCCACTTGACGCTCACCCCGTGATTCACACTCCCACCGCCCTCACCAGCATTGCCGCCCTCGCCCGACGAAAGCGACGTCGGCCGCAGGGACGAAGAGCCTGTACACGTCGACACGGCCGTAGACGCAGCCGTAGAAGCAGTCGTAGACGCGACAGTCGTAACAGTCCCCGACCGATCACGCTGCACTGTCCCCATCCCCGTCCCTGCCGCAGCCGTCGCCAAAATCCCACCACCAGCCGGACCAGCCACACCGTCCGCACCAACAGCAAAAGCCGACGACCCAACCGACACCGCGCTCTTCGTCGACCCGCCCCTGGGTTTCTGCAGCCTCACACTCCCCATCCCACGCACACTCCCGCGCATACTGCCGAACCCCGCAATACCAAGGATACTGCTCTTCTTCCTCCCCAGCGTCTTCGCAGCCGGACTCCCACCCACCGACGGCGGCGCCAAAAACGCACCGGGAGCATGCCCAGGCGGCGGCTCAAAGAACGCAGAGCTGCACGGCGGCGGCGACAACGAGCCAGCCTCGAACGACGACCCGGCCGAGTACCGCAGCGTGCCTTGATCATGTCTCTCCTCCTCCTCGCCCTTGCCGAGGAAAGACGCCTTGGCGCGTAACTTGGATATCGACGAGAACCGGATCGAGGACTTGGGTTTGCGCTCCGACTTTTCCCTCTCTCTCTCCCTCTCCTTCTCGCGTTCGCGTTCGCGCTCCTTTTCTTTTTCCTTCTCGAGCGCCCTCTCCCTCTCGCGCTCCTTCTTCTCCCGCTTCCTCCGCGCCTTCTCGTCCTTATCCTCCCTCTCGTCCCGCTCCTTGTCCTTGTCCTTATCGCCAACAAACGACGGCATACTCCGCAGCTGGTTCCAGCTCCCGATACGCGCGAGCGAACGCATACTGCGCATAGCGCGCACCGCAACAGACCCCTTACTTGTCGTGTGGGCATTGGCGTTGCCGTTGACGGTCGCGGTGTCGTCGTCATCCGAGTCGGAGTCAGGAGGGAGAGGGAGAACTGTAGGTACCGCAATAGGCGTGTGCATCGGAGTGGGGATACGGAGAAGATTGTCCGAGGAAGAGGAGGCGGGATGGGAGGGCGGGGCGTAGAGACCGTGACCGCCAGAGGCGGTGGTGGACTCGGCGTTAGCTACGCAGTTGGCGAGGAGCACGCGCGAGTCAAGCGAGTTGAACCGTGCGCGGTTGTCAGGAACCACGAGCTGAGGAAAGGGCTGGGACGCTGCGGATGAAGGTGCTCGTGAGTCCGTGGTATGACGAGTGAAAGACAGACGACTCACAAACCGCGCGGTCGCGCTCCTCCATCTTCTTCTCCTTCCCGTCCTTCCCCTTCCGCCCAATACTCCACCACTTCTCCTTCTCCTTCTCCTCCGGGCCAGACGACATCACCTTCAACAGACCCAGCCCAGACACAGACCGCTCGCGCCTGCTCCCCCTCCCCTCCTCGCTCTTCTCCTTGAGCAAATCCCTCTTCGACGCGCGCTCCTTAAGCCGCATCGACTTCTTCCCCTCCTTCCTCCCAATCGTCCCCTCCGCATCCACAGCAGACACGGACACCGTCGGCACATTCGTCACCTCGCCCAGCGCCCCCGGCCCCCAGCTCATCCCGTTCAACCCCGCACGCGACCGCTTCTTCTTCACGATCACCACCTCCTCCTGGGCATCATCGCACCCGCTCGCGCTCGCAGAGTCGACATAGATCTCGAAGCCCTTCTTCGAAGTAGCGCCGACGCGCCGCGCAACGTCCGAGAAATCATCATTGATGTTCGCGCGACTGTGGCTGCGACCCAGCGTGCGGTTTTCCTTGCCGCGTCCGCTGGTAGCGCCAGCGCCAGCGTCTGTGCCGATGGCGAGCTTGGACTTGGACGCGCGCTTCGGCACGAGCTTCTTCCGTGCACCGCCTTCTTTCGGCGCGAGGACGGAGATAGCAGGAGGCGGGGGCGGCTCAGCCCATGGCGAGACGCCGCTGTTCGCGGTCACGCTCGCGCTCTGGGATGTGTTGACGGTGGCGAAGGAGGCGCTGGGGTCCGATGGGGTGGCAGCTACGAGGCGGATGGTGGGAACAGCGGGGTTAAGGGGCGGGGTATCGTAAGAGAAGGGGGAGGGCACGGTGCGTTCTTGTTCTTGCTGGGCGGGCTGGAGAGGCTGGGACGAGCGCAAAAGTGTAAAGGAACTGCGCATCCCAATGTGTAGAGAAATTTAAGCGGTGGATGGATGAAAAAAGATGTTCAAGAGTTATAGACAGAGATAGACAGAGACAGATAGATAGCAAGAGAAGCAAGAGATAGCGTCGACAGGAATGATGGGTCGTCAGAACGTCGAGAGCAGGGAAAGGTATATGCAGATGCGACAAGTGCAATGGATGGACAAGATACAGATGAGAATGAGGGAAATGGAAGGATGGGATGGGATGGGATGGGTGTATGCTGTGCAAGAGCGAGTCGAGTCGTCTTGTGTCGTCAATGATAGTCTTGAAGTCAGCGAGGATCGAGAAACGTAAGGCGTAAGGGGATGAGGGGAAGCTGTAAAGAGGAGAGGAAAGCAATGATAATCGTGATCAGTTCTAAGTTGGAGTCTCTGCGACGACGGTGAGTGGGGTATATGCGCCCGAGAATAGAGTGGATGGCACCTTGAAAGTAAAGCAAAGAAATCTTACTATCCCCAGCAGAATACTGGACACGCCGACCTGGGCCTGTTGCCTGAGCCGTGCGTCGAAGAAAAAGTGGGAAAGAGAAAGAGACTCGAGGAAATGACAAACGAGGCAGCGCTCAATGAAGTTGGGTTCTTTGTTTGGCTCGAACACGAGGGAAGCGAACATGGGCCAAACAACGCGTCGACGTGCACGGGATCGCGTCTCACGCTCTCAGACCGACATCACCGCAATGCCCTGCAGGGAACAACGCCTCGTGCAAGTGGGCGCCCACGACGGAGAACACACTCCCCTTCATTTCCCACCTCCGAGACACCGGCAGACGTCATAAACCTGTCATTCCCCTTCTTTCCGCTGTGCTTCGCCCGAGATGAGTCAGCTTCGAGACAAGTGTGTGCTTCCGCATGTCCAAACGAGAAGAAAATAAGCAGAGAAAGCCAGAGTCCACAGAGAGGTAGCAGAGAGAAAAAGAAAGAACATCCGCTTTCTCTCGTTGCCTCGCCAAAAATTCCGACCATGCGCTGGCAACGTGCTTACGTACACCTTGATGGCCCTTCGACAGGGGCATTTAGCCATCCTTGCAAGCCTCGGCTCAGTTTCGACTAATCTGCACCCTCGTTCGCGCTTTGACAAATACTAGAGACAACGAAACGTACATGCAAGCAGGAGCATTTGGAGAAGTAAATGACAGACCCGTTAACGATCTCCTACACATCTCACAGCCGGGTCAACTTCGGACCCACCAGCCGCGACGCTCGACATCGGTCACAATTCCAAAACAGGTCCCCCAATTCTGCCAGAGACTAGATCATCGGCGGCTTACACTGGGGGCAATTACCCATGTTTTCGTAGAAAACATTCAAAATGTTTTGAGGGCCACCTTCCTAATTGGGCAGGTCACATTCCAAATTTGGCATTTTTAGCAAAACATTTTAAATGTTTTTGACATGTTTCCCCTGGAAACATCGTCTAATGCCCCCAGTGTTAACCAGACCGCCCATGCCTCATGCGAGAGACTGTCCGGGCCGAAATCAAGCATCTTACACGGAAGCACTACTATACATGTGAATCTGTTATACCTCACCACAAGCTTCCGAATACTAGCTAGGCGCCTGATGAGCTCTAAGACAAAACATACTCCCCAAACAATCCCGCCCAAATCAACCCGCCCACCCACACATTCGCCTTGAAAATCTCCCCGCAACTCCTCAACGACCCCAGATCCACGCTCCGAAACTGCCACACGAGGTGCAATGTCACGCCTCCGACCGCGAACGCGTAGTACGCCACCCCAAACCCCGCGAGGACGCCCGTCGCAATCAGCGATACGACGAGGCCGGCGGCGAAGAGCCTGAGCATGGGGAGGATCCACACGCCGAAGAGCAGCGCGGTCGACTTGACACCAGCTTTGGCGTCGTCTTGGATGTCTTGGCAGGCGTAGATTGTGTCGTACAGGACTGTCCAGCTATATATCACCAAAGGTGCGATGAAATTTGCTTTAGAAAACGCGTAGCGAATGTCATCCGAAAGACCGCTCACCACCAGCTCCCCATGAGCAACGCACCAAACACACTCAGCTCGACATGAGCCCCATTGACCGCAGCCCACGCCACCGGCAACCCCCAGTTCATAGCCAGCCCAAGCCAAGCCTGCGGCCAGTTCGTCCACCGCTTGAGCAGCGGATATACGTGATGTCTGTCAATACTCCGTAAATCGACATGCAAGTACAAACAAAAGCGCGAATAAAACCAGGACAGACACGCACAACGGAAACAGCCCCACAACCGCCCACACCTTCGCCCCCCGACTCAACAGCCCCATCAAACCCAGCACGACGCCCATCTGCGCCAGATAAAACACGACCGCGGCGCGCACCGACACCCGCCCGCTCGCGATCGGGCGCGTCTTGCATCGCTCTTCAAGTTCGCCATACGAAACGACAGCACGCTTCGCATCAGCCCACGAACCCCGCTCAAAATAAAGCCACCAAACGAACGAACACCACGCACCGACTTTCCGATCGAACTCGCGGTCCATAATATCGTTCAACGTGCACACCGTGCTCCGCAACACAAACGCCCCCGCAAAGAACGCGCCAAACAGACCGACGTACGTCGGAAAATCAAGGCGCTGCCGGCGCGCTGCGAGCGTGAGGCCCCATGCTATGTATGATATGGTTACAGTCAGCCCAGTGTAGAAGCCTGGAAACAGGGCCGACATGTACCGAAGGGCCAGAACATGAGGTAGACCCCGATGGGCTATAACAACGGCGAGGATATTAGACACGGTGCGCTGAAAAATGAAACGAGGCACCTTGTGCACGCGCATAAGCTCCAAGTACGGCCTAGCATCCTCGTACAGCGCATCCTTGACCTTCATCGCAGAGAGGCGAGACTGGTGTTGAGTCTTTGAAGGCTCCCGAACCAGAGAAAGAGATATAAGAGAAAGACGGGAAATCGCACTGGCGTTCACAGAGCACACGTCTTTTATACCCATCCGTGCATGACGATTAGGCAAGAGTGTATCTGACCATCAAACCACAGGTGAGAGCAGCAGACCTCGATTATGAACAAAGTACAGTTGAAACAACCATTCATACTTACAAATATAGCTCTACGAGAGACGGGACTCCAGCTGCCCAACGGGATGGCGCAGTGTACAGAGCATATCAGTCCCCGCAGATTATGCATTTCAAGGGAAACCATTATCAATGAATTTCGCAAGGCAACAAGTTCGTCTGAGATACGATGTGAACGTTGGAACCTATGTGAACGTAGAGGAGTCAGTAGCAGATATAGACAAAACATACAACCGCTCACACCAACCGGGCGTTTTATCACCTCAAAGCTCCAGCTCCAGGCAAAGCATCCGATGGCCTGCTCAACGAAATCATACATACCAAAGAGACGAAAAGACAGATCAAAACAGTCGGCGATCAGACCAGCGCTGCGAACCCCAGAACCGAACCGCGCAATCTATCTTCATACAGAAAGGCAAAGCCATCCAAATTCAGTACCAGACATGTACACAAACAACTGACCGTATCCCATCTAGCAACAACAGTCAAATCAAGGTTCCACATATCCCCGCTCCTCCTCGCACCCCGTCTGCGTAATCCTTAAGAACCGCGTCCCGACCCTCTGCGCCTGCTCGTCCGAATGCGTCACCCACACGATCGCCTTGAGCTCGCTCTCCGAGGACGCCATCTCATCCAACAAGAACCGTTCAACAAGGTTCGTCGAGTTCGGGTCCAGCGCCGAGGTCGGCTCTATCCACGTACCCAATCAGCTCTCAATACACAGACGACTCTCGCATGGACAAGCGACGGACTCACCGTCCAGGAGGAGCACCTCGGCCGTATCAAGCCCCACAGCGATCGCGAGGGAGATGCGCTGCGACTCCCCGCCGCTGAGGTTCGACCAGTTCCGGCTCCACAGCTCCTCGTCGACGCCCCACGCTTTGCCGATCTGCACGTAGTCGGCGTAGTCCCGCGTCGCTTTCGAGCGTTTCGCGCACTTCGTGCGAGACGAGAAGCCGGAGAGCGCCTTGAGGAAGTCGTGCGGCGTACCAGGGAGGAGAGAGGGTCGCTGTGGGACGTAGGCTACCTTTGTGCGGTAGGATGGAACGCCTGGTGTTTGTTATGTTGAGTGGTCGTTGCGCGAGAAGCAAGGTACCGAGACTCACCAATCGCACGCGGCTGACTGGTATATGTCAGTTAACATACCTTCAATTATTAGAAACGGCAAGCTCACCTCCCGCGGTACCTAACCTCGCCCTTGTACTCAATAAGATGAGCAAGACACTTCAACAAAGTAGATTTCCTAAGTGACGATAACGGCGGTTGAGCGGGTTCAAACGAATCAACAACACTCAAGAAGCTAAAGCACTCACCCAGCGCCGCTCTTGCCCTGAAGCACGATTACATCTCCTTCATTGACATCGAATGTAAGATCAGAAAACACGTTTCTGGTCTTGTTAATATCATAGCCCAGGCTGTCGACATGAAGGAGGTTTGACATGGGCGTCGAACAAGTGCCAAGCAAGGCGGCTGCGGCGGGCCGACGTATTTCAGACTCCGAAATCACAGCTACGTCTTTTCCATGCGCCTCCTTGTCTCCGTTCGCTCATGCTCTAGAAGTTATCGCAGGTTATCGCCCTCACTAATAAGTAGTTGAATCGCAAGCGAGATTTGTTAGATGGTTTTTAGATGTCCAATTAAGCTCTTATCTGAAGAACCTGTTGGAATTTCAGAGGCGAACGAGGGGGAAACTCGCTGGCAAACGCGCAGCGATTACATTTCGACGACGGCGGGTATAAGTACATGTAAATAGCTACCGAATAATAACTAAATGATGCGATAATGATGCGACGTCAAACAAATGATAAGATAAGCGCCGAAGCGCGCGGCTAGGTACGACGAGTCGTATGAGCTGACGCTCGTATGGCTACGTATTTCCAACAGAACCAATCACAAAAACTCTAGAGAGATCCGCGCATTCTTACGCTCAGTCAGCTCCCGAGCTCGGCTCTAAGTCCGGCTCGCGCTACGACATCCTTCATGTTCACAGGCATCTAGTATCATATCAGCCCCGTAAAACTGGGTGCAAAAGCATATTTCTCGTGTTCATAGTCTTGAATATTGATAAGAGGTAGCTTGGAATTAATTTTATAAGGTTCCGTCGTGTACATATCCTACTTACGCCTCGCCTTTTGACACGGTCAGCGACACCGATTATGATAGGCGCTCGCCCGTCAAGAAACACAGTTTGACTTACTCGATCTTCATGTCGCTTCTCATGTCAAACTAAGTATCGGTACTGCTCATGCCTGTAGTGTGATGCCATAATAATCGTGTCTCGTATTTTGTAAGCGGTAATATGTTTCTTTACTGGGCCTCATGTACCTTATGACTGTTCGTTTCAGCACCAAGAATGAAATGCATGATGAATAACCACTCCCGCCGAAGGGATAGTGTAGAGTACAGCCGAGATTCAGGCACATGTGCCGTGTTTTCAACAGAACGGCTTGATAGCTCTCGGTTGCAGTCCCATTGATCTCTTCTGAGGGTTATCTATCTTCAACAGAGAGGTGGGCTGTTTACAGAGATCTTGCCACGTGCTTCCCAGGTGTATCATGTTGTGTGTGCTATATGTAACACATTGTGCAGTCTTTTTGTGGCAACGACGAATGAAAATGATGTATGAATTAGAAATAAGATTGACGCTCATACAGCGTACGTAGCTACACGCTCAACTTGGGCCCAATAAAATCACGCTTCATACTCACTAAGTCGGACGGCAATTACTATAAACACATCAAGACATTTCTCTCTAGCGCTACATCCAGCTTCTACAAAGCACGTAGCGGTACTGAATAAACTAGACATCCACAGCATCACAGGGTGATGGGGGAGCACCCAATAGAAATAATGCCGTTCTGAGAGAAAAATGAATTGAGTTCTCAGGAGAAAATGCCAAGAAAGCAGTAACGTACAAAGTTGTTGTTCTCGCAGCAGACAGGGCGCGCAGAGCAAGAGCCACCACCCAGGCCAAGGACGTTGATAGGCGTGCAGGTAAGACCAACGAGAATGCTAGGGTCAGATAGAATTATTCCAAGAAGTCCCAGCAGAGTGGAAGCCTCCGAGGCCTAGTAACGCAGGTCAATGCGACGCCCTACGGATGTATGGAAGGATAACTCACCTTCTCGATAGTGTCGCAGCACTGGATAGGGCCAGTGTTGCACTGACCCGGAGAAGTCGGAGTAGAAGACGGAGCGCGCTTCGCGTCTGCCATTCATATTTAGAGTCTATACAAGATAGCCAGATCCAGTCATATGACGGAGGTTAACGCTCACCCACAACCTCAGTAGGCGCTCTACCGGGGAGATTGCGGCCAAAAACGGGCTTTGCGAGAGGCAACCCACGAACTAGGCGCTGAGCGTTTGTCCAGTCGTCATCCCTCTTAACAGGGTTGGCAACTGCAAGGAGAGACAGCACAAGAACAAAAGTCGCGGAGAGCTTCAAGAGCATGGTGGTAAGACAGACCGAAACGTCGCTGGATTTTTGTGAATTCAGGGCCGTCCTTTATGCAGTGGCAGGGAATGAGGTACACAATCCATGCAATCTGCAAAGCTGCTTATCAGCGGGTAAACTACGTCACCCCATCCATTGTAATATCATACTTTCCACGACATAGACAGACAGTGGGAACGGCAAGCGCATCCTCACTCATAGAGAGAAGTATCAGGGACAAAGGCGCAGAAAGATGACACCCGAGGGAATGTGTCAAGGTTAAGTTACGTCCGTCTGTACCACAGGCAAATACAAATAGCCGTAACCAGCGCGCTTTCCTCTTTGAATCTGGTTGTATAGGTTAGCGGCATGTGGAATCTGAGAAGTATTGGAGTAAAATGATGAAAACTGAAATGGAACCGAACAAGGAGTGCAAGCCAACCTACCGGCTCAAGCAAATGAATTAACAGAGGTTTGGGCTACAGTCATCAGGAAAAACCTATGTGTAGTAATTGCCCGAAAGTGTCTCATCTTTCCCATAGTCGTCCGAAATCCACCAATTTTATTGGTAAAGTTTTCATAATTTGGGCGAACCGAAAACTTTACAGAACACTGCAGCCCCCCTTTGGTCATTGTGATAACTTTGCTAAAATCTCTTGGAATTTTGATAACTTTTTCGTTCTCATAACCCAGGTTTCCCCGCATTGGCCTCTGACCAGTTTGAATTAATCGGATGGTATTGATAGCGATACTACTAAGATCAGTGTAAAGTAAGGTAGAGCGTTAATGAATGAATGTCGAATATATGGTAGGTGTAATGCGAGAATGTATCAGCGCGAGAGCTACTCATCCGCCATCTAATCCCAGCAGACTTGCAAGAGAATCTCCTTCGCCTCTTGTATTACCAACCGGTTTTGGTCAATGAGCCACTGCAGTACTCACAATGAGTGACAAGTATGATAGATGAGACAATGAAACTTACGCACAGGCGTCGTAAAGATTGTTCGTACGATGGTACTGCCTCGGTTTATTCTGAAGTAAGGGATCTGTCGAGACTCAATGGTTAGAATTTATAAGAATAGTCATAAGAATTGATACAGGACTCGCCTTTGTGTCAGCGCGCCGGCGACTCACTCAAGTTGCCACAGGCGACAGCAGCTGCTGCCTCCCCGGCGCCGGCGCCGTGTCAAACGCCGGAGAAGCCGCGCGCGAGCGGCGCGTCTGCGCCTCGCGGAACGCGGCGGCGGGTATGTGTTGCGACGCGTCTCTCGTCGTGCTGTTCTCTCTCGGGCGCGGGCGCGGGGGCGGTGTGAGATTGTATTAGCTTCCGCTTCCGCCGTTGTTGTAGCTCGAGAACGACGACCCCGGTCTCTCTGTCGGTGTCGCCGACAACATGGGAGAGGTCACGCGGACGTGTCGGAAGGATTGAGGTTGAAGTTGCTGTCCTGCTGCTGCTGGTGATGATGAGCAGGAGTGGACGCAGAGGGGACAGACAAGCCCATCGCCGAGCTCGTGGGTGAGACAGACGAGGCGACAGACGCCTTGGAGCGTGTGCGCTCGCGCACCCAGCTCATCAGCCCGCCCTTCTTCAGCGTCTTCTGTCAGATTTACGTCTAGTATTCGACCCTTTACGGCTTTATTGGTTCATCCAGAAGCCTCCTATACGGCGATGTTCCTCCTAGAGGTCTACAAGTAAACATCGCCTTCATACGTCTATTCAGGCGCTTAGTATCCCATAGGTACTTTAAGCGCTTACGCACTCGTGTGGCTCCGCGTTCATCGCATAGGGCCACGTTCTGCTTACGTAGCCGTCCCGCATTACCGTGGGACTTGGACTGCATAGTAGTTACGAATACGGTAGTGACTTCACACGCTCCTGTCATATATATACAGTCGCTACCATGAATATCATCTAAGTCTTCTCTCTACCTCGAACGACTACCATCGTCAGCAACCAGCTTAACCGCTATCAACTCAACCTTCAACACTAACTGCCCGGTGAGTCTGCGCTGTTATAGACTTCCATGCTATACTCGCGATTGTCCTTTGTCAGGTTATGAGCCCCGCGGGGCGCGGC